CTGCCCCAGAAAAAGTTTATTGTCCCGATAAGATGTGTATTTAACCTTGATAAAGTTATTACACGTCATATGCTTCTCTGAAGGATTGATCTTTAAAACGAAAAAGTTTAACACGTTCAGCTTTGTTAAAAAATACGATTTCATAAAAAAAATGGTGGACTGTAAAAATAAAATTGTTCGCTTATGTACGTAGTTCAGCAGCCACCTGGAATACCATAAAAAAAACCGCTTAAAACTTATTTCATAAAATTTAAAAGGCACAATTCCGTGAATGGAACAATTCACAAATAATCCGTACATAGAATAAAACTTAGGACGACGTTTCTGTCCGACTTGGGATATTAACTAGTCACACAGTTAATGGTCCAAGTCGGACCGAAACGTCGCAAGTTTTATTCTCCTATATGCGGGTTATTTGTGAAACTTTTCACGGAAAATTCCAGAGAGTTCTCTCCAGAGCTGAATGTTTCCTTCTCCAACCACCGCTCTATATGCATATGAATATATTTTAAAAAAATGTTTGAATAATACATGGGAACCTATGTATACCACTTTAATGAGTACAGATGCATGCAGAAATGCAATGTGAAAAAAATTTAAGTTATGGAGTTCCTCTGGCTCCTCGAAAGCCGGTTGGAAAGCCAATATGCAGTAGTGTTCCCTCTCTGGATCGCCACACTGAGGAGCTAGAAGAACGTAGCAGCTCTCAGGTCTTTGGTGGTTTCATTAATTAACCCTGGAAAACCATGGCTTATTTTCTCCAGGGATCAGGTGTACTTGATCCTATTGGAACAAAGTTGTACTAGTATACCTGGAGGATGTTTCGGGGGGGTCAACGCTCCCCCTGCCCGGACCATGACCAGGCCAAATTCCAATACATGTTGAGCTTGTGATCCTCCCTGTGATCAACCTGCTATTCTGACCAGCATTAAATAAGACGTATGTGCTGGCCAGGGTAGATGCCCATGTATAGTCTACCTTTCTCTCTAGGATATAATGTGATCCCATCAGGATAGCTGGCATGTGTATCCGTATCGTAATAGTAAGGCTTCTCTTGATGAACTCGTTACTTTACTGTATCTAACATTTCGCTCTTTGAACTTTAACAGTTCGGGCCATGCCGGCCATATCAGACTGATATGGCCGACAGTGTTAACAGAAGGAGCATGGTGAAGACCCACAGCAAAACGACGGGTCTGACTGAGGGTTAAGACTGTGCCAGTCACAAAGATGGTAATTGCTAGGAGAAAGTCACCCAAGTGATTCATTCTCTCACCGAGTGAGTGAGCGAGCGAGCGAGAGGAGACAGACTGACAGAGAGAGAGAGAGAGAGAGAGAGAGAGAGAGAGAGAGAGAGAGAGAGAGAGAGAGAGAGAGAGAGAGAGAGAGAGAGAGAGAGAGAGAGAGAGAGAGAGAGACAAAGGCAGACAAAGACAGAAAAAGATAGATACACATACAAACATTGCATCCCTTCAAGGTGAAGAATTCGAACCCATATTGCTCATGACCAGCCTGGGTTAACCTTCACTAGGAAGAACGCTGTTATACCTCTGTATAATTATACCTTAATATCTCATATGATGAAAATGGTGTATAATACCAACAAGTTGCAATGCTTTACACCCCCCCCCCTTTCATTTTACCCACATCCTCAAGCACCTTCCCCACACTCACATCAGGCTCTTCTTCACTCCTGAAAGATATTATACATCCTTCGCCAGTGCATGAAATCACTGCCTCCCTCTCCTCCTCCTCCTCTCTCCTCCTCAGTGTTACTAATTAATATCAGCCCAATCATTTTTAAAAATGTAGTAGACAAATTAACATATTTTTATTATGCATGGTTTATTATAATAAAGGTCTTGGTTATTATCTCCATCAGAGAAATAATAACAGGTCAGTTGATACCACAATGCAGACCTAATATTAATAATTTGCAATTAAACAATGAACATAAAAATCACATAATTAACAACGGTATATTGAATCATAAGATTCAATTCCTTAATTCTCTCCTCATAACTCACTTCCCTTATCTCCAGGACTAATTTTGTTGCAAAAATCTGCATGTTCTCCACTTTGTTAGAATGCTTTATCAGGTGTGAGGTCCAAGCTGATACGGCATACCTGAAAAAAAAGGGACTGACGTATGTCGCTGTGAATGACTTTTCTAAAGATTCCTGAATGATAATCTTAAGTCACTATATAAGCATTTGTCGCTAAGATTATTCTGTCAGTGTGTGTAAGCCCACTCCCTACCACTCTCAGAATGCTACACTTGACAATAAATTAATAATTACAATAATAAAACCAGCTATGGTAAATTATAATTGTGGACTGTATATGATAAGGCTTACCGGGTACACAAAAGAAATTCGTATTACCACTTACCAATTCATTACTGTAGATGGATCACGCCACAACACCTGCATGACACTTAGACCCTACACTGGCCAGTTAGAGATCTAAATGAAAGAACTAATTGTGTACTTCCCTGTGAGTAATGGTTGCATCCACATGTAATTCATGAGGTCCCACAAATTTGCTGTCCCAATTCTTCAGCAGGGGACATTAACATGGGTTCCTATTACAAATTTAGGTCGAAAGATGCCGGATTATTAGCTGAATTTTCCACGACAACCAGTGCCCACAAATTACAAATGGAGTCTCCCTTCCGGCGTCACTCATCAGCTGTTCTACAACCCCCTCACTCGAAATTTCTCAAAAGAGTCAAATCAGCATCATATTTTATTACAAAATTATTGCATTATTCAAATTTACACATGCTGAATTTAGGAAAATTCAAAATTTTCAACAAGTAATCTAATCCGAATAACATATATCGAGCAATTATTTTTTAAAATTCTAGGAAATCGACTTAGGCTTTAGGAGGTCTGTCTCTTTCACAAGGTGTAATACTCAACGCCAGACACAGCCTCTTAGAACAATTTGATCGGCATACTAATTTCTGGTCTCTTGAGTTGTATGGGTCACACAACCCTTGGGCCTTAACATATCTACACTTGAATCTGTGTTCTGAGTTCGTTTCCACCACTTTCTCTTAAATCATTCCACTTCTCGACCAGCCGAGACTAAACCAGTATTCCCTTACATCCTTGTGTCTCTTCTGCATTTTCAGCTTCCCTTGAGTCAGGTTCTCTTAGTTAACAGTCTATCAGTATCTTCCTTATCAGCTCCTCTGTGTGTGGAGGATTGAGTACATGGGTGATTGTATGCTGTTATAGTGTTAATATTCTACTTTCATAAGACGAATTACTTTTTATCAAAATATATATATGTACAACATATGATCATGAATACGTAGCAAAAAGAAAATATTATTAATGAGAAATCATTTAACAGCAGTTATATTAAAGCGTGTGTTTCAAACAAAAGTGATATAATCACAAGTCTTGCTGACATGTGTCGAGAGCTCTCAAAAGCGATCTGCACATGCTGAAAGGGACCAGGGGCATAAACACATGATATTCATCGCCCTTTCAGATGATATTTCAAACTTTTCTTTCACCCATAAAATCCAACTATTCTAAGAAGGTGTCAGACAGCTTTTGGTGTAGCAGTCTTATCTTGTCTCCTTAATCCACCCGATAAAACAAGATAAGTGAGCTAAGGTTGACAAGGTCCATATAACTATATATTGGACAGTACACTTTGAGCTTTCCTAGCAAGGAAACAAAGCAAACATTACTTGAATCAAGAGCTCTTCACCAACACGAAGGCAACCCACGGTGCTATTAGACGTTTTCAAAGTTAATACAAGCGCGGACATAACTTAAATTATCATTTAAGACATCTGTGACAAACTTGTAATACACAGCTTCAAGACTACCCACTCATTACAACACGAATTTGCTTTCAGTATTTAATTCACGTTAAACCAGTAAGGGTCATTCAGCGCCTGAGGAATACGACGTAATCAGGGTTAGTTCAAGGAACTGGAAAGCATTTCAATTCCTTGAATGCAAGGAGCATTCTTGAGAACAATGCGAATGCAATCAAATGCGGTATCAAGGAAACCGCGATATTTATACAGACTAGAGACCTTGTTCCAGGAGACGTGTCCTCCTAGAGGGTCACGTGGTCTTCTCCCAGGAGAGACATGTCCTCGTGGAAGGTCTCGTGGTCTTCTCCTAGGAGAGACGTGTCCTCGTAGAGGGGTCTCGTAACAACGGAAATATCTGAAGAATTATATTCACGGGGAAGCGTTAAACCCTTAGTTATATAACGCTTGGTAAATAGGAAGTAACCATATCTGATTTAAGGGGACGGTAGCTCTAAATTTTTATTTAATCAAGATCCCTTCACCAGCGTCAAGACACCCATTACAAGGAAACATCTGCCTACGAAATACTGAGGAGGGTTGTAACGTGAAGCTGGCAAAGCAGACTTTGCCTTCATTAGAAAACTTGACTCTAAATTTAATAATAATAAAAACAATAATAATTTATTATATTGCAGGAGAGGATATAGTCTTCGTTTAGCTTCCTCTACTGCAATTAGTAGCTGCCGTACCATCACACAGCGGGGCCAAGATGCCTGGTGGCTTGGACATCCGTAACCTTGTGGGAAGTGTCATCAACGCCGTCAAGAGTCGAGCCAATAAGGTGTGCGCCGCCACCTGCGATGGTCTGATTCTTAGGATGCACTACCGCTGGACCTTCTGTATCATGCTTGGTGGATTCTTCACCACCTGGTACTCCTGGTAAGTGATACCTTCACTACCTCGTAATCCTAGGTGATACTGTCACCTGGTACTGCTGGTAAGTGATGCCTTCACCACATGGTACTCCTGATAGGTACTTCCTTCACTACCTGGTAGGTACGGCATCTTTGTGTGTAGAGATTGCTCTGAAATGGACATTCACATCGCTAGTACGAAACGGTTGTTCTGACGGTAATTTCAACGTTTTAATTTTATGGGGGAAGCAGTAAACTCGTAAGGGTCATACAACACCTCGAGGACTGGGAGACAAATTCGATCCAAGGAAAGGGAGCACATCTTCAATTCTTTGGATCAAGAGCCTTTTACCAGCGCCCCTCAAAGGGACATTGAATAAAGGTAAACTCTTGGAACTGTTCCTTCATGTCTTATTAGCACAGGACGTCCTGAGCCTCTCTCAAGGAGCCACAAAATCTTTGTTATATTGCAGCGGACCAGTCACAAAAAAAAGTCCTCTTGACAGATATGGAAGTTCGAAAAGCTTAGCAAACTCGCTTCCATGAACATACAAACATTAGTCCTAAATTTTACGTCACAAAGCAGCAGGTGTATATTGCGATCGCTCCTAAATATATTTTTTTTTTCTTTATATCTGTAAGTTCGTCTTGGAATACCATCACTGAATGACTCCTTATCTTTTCCTTCAGGTACCACCGTGACGTCATTAGCTGTGTTTCACACTTCAACGCTGAGACCCAAGTGCGCCTCGATTACATAAACATCTGCCTCTCGTATCCCTACCTGGAGACCGAGGGAGGCAGGCGGTACATATTATTCTATCGATGGATATCATGGTCTTTCCTCATCCTTGCCGCTGTATACTACATCCCCAGGAAGATGTCTAAGACCTTCGATAATAGCAAATGCAAGGCCCTGTTGGAAGATTTGGCAACTAACTCTCACCGCTACGACCAAACAGAGGCTCAGCTGGTGGAGAGAGCAGCACGCTATATGATATTTAACCTCAGGACTCACAACGGACTCTACTGGAAGTACCTCTGTGTCAACCTCGTAGCTCTGTTGGTCGATATATTTGCTATGCATTACTTGGACTTCATCCTGCAGGGGCGGTTTATCCAGTATGGCATCAAGTCTTATCCATTCAATCGAGATCCACAGACTTTCTCAGACTATATGTCACAAACATTTCCTCCATTTGCTTCCTGCGAGCTTTCCTCTGAGAACCAGTTGGTCAACAAACGAACCGAGAAGTTTGGTTGTCACCTGACAATCATGGAGTTGTATGAAAAGGTGTTCTTAGCCCTGTGGGTGTGGCTGATTGCGCTATGTTTTTTCACATGCTGCTACATTATCTTTCTCTTTATGATGTGGCTTCCTTGGGTGAGAGTGTTGATGATTCACACCGCCAGGCCAGTGAACGGCAGAGACAAGGTTAGAATGATTAGCAAAAAAGTGATGAAAAATTGTAAGATAGGCGATATCTATCTCCTATATCGTTTGAAACAGCATCTAAGCCATGTAAGGTTCTATGAACTGTCAGTGCGCCTGTCTGAACTCAACCTCAACAGTGAACAAAGGCAGAAAGCTACACCAGAGACGCAACCAGAACGTCAAGAGAAAACGCCAATTGATGACATGGTGACCACAACAATAAGGAACAGACGATCAGCCGTGACCTTGGATCCGTCCAAGGATCCCCAGTACTTGTATCAGCTCCTGGGAAGTTCTGAATCCCTGGAAAAAACTTTACAGACTTTAACTCAAGACAAAATACAGACCAAGAAAAATACAAGTATCCTTATCGAATAACTGAGTGATTTCCGTCTAATGACAACGTTAAGAGATTAATCTAATGAAAATTTAATCACGAGAAATCGAAATGTAGATATGCAGCCCCTGTGGAGTGAGAGATAATCAAATTTGATCTTGGGATAACTCCATTTCCTTGGACCAAGAGCACTATCATCCCAGTACCTCTCTTGAAGGATTAAATCTAGCGAAAAAGTGGAGAAGACTCTTGAAAACGTTTTGAAACCTTCACTATAACGACTGTGATACTCGACGAAGCTTGAAAACTACGGAGAAACGTGTTCTGATTTATCCTTCATTATTATGTGACATATAAAAATGTACTCTGGATCGTTTTATGCTATGACTTATAACAGTTTAGAATGCTTCTCTGCAGCTTAGATAATTATATATTTTAGTAAATAAAAATGAAATAGACGACGAGCTTGCTTATAATTATCGCAAAACAGTATTCTTGTAATCCGCTCTAATTTACTGTTCTCAAAAGCTGTTTTTATTTTTTAACTCATCGGCCCTTTTCCAAAGAGATAAGGAGATCCGAAAATGAAGAAACACTTTCACCATCACTCACTCCATCACTGTCTTTCCAGAAGCGCACCGGCAGCAGCTCAGATGCCCCTGCAATATCCCTACCCATCCTTCGGAGTGCAGGCACTGTACTTCCCACCCCCAGGACTCACGTCCGCCTAACCTACGCCCTGAATCCTATCATAAGTGTTACCTTCACACTAACAGCAGGTCAAGTCATAAAAACCACTTGCCTCCACTCGTGTCTAGCACGCTCACACACGCCTGTTGGAAGACCAATCCTTAGTATAAAAAACTTCCTTTAACCCCTCCCTCAAACCTTTCCAAGGATGACCCCTATCCCTTCATCCCTCCACTACAAAGTATACATTCTCCAAATCATACTATTTTGCTTCAGCCTCCAAATGTGCAAAACACTACCTCAACCCTCTTGATAACACATTTTAACCCAGTGCCTCCTCCTAATCTTTGAACTACGAATTCTTGCATAATATTCACACCAACATTGCCCTCAGACACGACTTTGCTAATACATTGCCCTTTTTAGTTTCCATGAATAACATTCTTTTTCTCCACAAATGGGTCAGTGCAACACCCACCTTTTTCACTTGGTCAGTTCTATGATTCATTTCATCTTTCATAGACCCATCTACCGAAAAGTCCACTCCCAAATATCTGAACACATTCACTTCCTCCACTCTTTCTACCAATCTAATATTCAGTCTTTAATTTACTTTTTTTTTTTTTGTCTTTCTCACTGCCTTGTTTTTTTTTTCCCATGTTCACCTTTAATTTCCTTGTTTTACATACCCTCCAACATCATCTGCCAACCTCTGCAACTTCTCTTCATAATCTAAAAGCATCGTGTTATCGGCCAAAAAATTGATGTTAAGAAAGTTTATCTCCTCTTAAATCTGATAACATGAAATCGTCTGGGAACCAAATGCTCATGACTGATATGGAGGTGTGGGGAAAGAGGGAAGGGATGGAGAATCTTTAAATGTTTCTCCTGTCCGAGTCTAAAGCTTATGCTGTTACTTCTGTGGTTTCTTGAAAACCAAGTCCTTCTGCGTTAAATCTTCTCTGGTCATCTATCTGCACGAAATGCTCAAGTTTGTTAGTGGCTTTCTTTGTGCTTAACAATATTTTATTACACGACGTCTTGACGACCGAGGTAATGAATCCCTGCTGGAGATTACCTGGAGAGAGTTCCGGGGGTCAACGCCCCCGCGGCCCGGTCTGCGACCAGGCCTTCTTAGGTCAGTGTCCCAGGATGCGACCCACACCCAGGTACCCATTTTACTGATGGGGAACATAGACAACAGGTGGAAAGAAACACGTCCAATATTTCTACTCTGGCTGGGAATCGAACCCAGGCCCTCACCGTGTGAAGCGAGAGCGTTAACCACCAGGCCACCAGAGCTGCACATTTTATGAAGTTAGGGGAGCCCAAATAGCTTAGCTGAAGGAAGCCAGATCCTCCATCACTCCGTGTGTTCAATGACCCCACACTGGTTTAGAACTTTTCATAAATATAATCTAATTTTTGTCTGTGCTCTTGACGACCGGGTCTGTGTATCTCAGGGATGCAGCATCACCCCACATCTACTCCATGATCTTGTATCTTATCATATTGGTTCGTGATAGCACGTAGAACGAAACACGGAGAGATAATAAAATAGCCATGAATTGTATATTATGTACACCCTTCTTTGCCCCCAGAGCGACCTGAAAAGTGCATGGCATGAATTCAACAAGAGGCTGAAAATATTCCTGAGAGATTCTGGTTCTTGTTGACATAACACCACGCATATGCTACAGATTGGTCGGCCGCACATTTATCCTGAGAATCTCCCATTACGCCAAATTCTGATCCTACCATCTGCATGTCGCAGCAGAAACTGTGATTAGTTAGACCAGGAGACGCTTTTCCTAACTTCAACTCTCCGGTTTTGGTAATCTTGTGCCCACTGTAGCTTCAGTTCCCTGTTCTTAACTGACAGGTGTAGAACCCTGTGTGGTCTTCTGAAAAGTAGCCCATCCAGTTCAAGATTTAACGAGGTGTGCGTTCAGAGATGCTTTTCTCCATTCCATTATTGTAACGCATGATTGAGTTACTTTCGCTTTCCTGTCAGATTCAATCAGACTGGCCATTCTTTTCTGACCTCTCTCATTACCAAAGCGTTTTCGCACACAAAGCTGCAATTCACAGAATGTTTTCTGCATTTTACACCTTCCTCTGAAAACTCTAGAGACTTTAGTGGGTGAAACCCCCAGATCAGTAGTTTATGAGATACTCAAACCATGCTATCTAGCACCAAAAATCATTCCACGTTCCAAGTCACGTCTCTTCCTCATTCTGATGTTTGGTCTGAACAACTGAATCTCTTGACTATGTCTGCATAGTTTTAGGCATTGAGGTGCTGCCACATGATTGGATAATTAGATGTTTGCATTAACGAGTAAGTGTATCTAATGAAGTGGCCAATGAGTGTATAAGGGAACACTGATATGCGTGTAGATCTTTTGTCAGTACAAGCTATCTGCTTGAAACATTAAACCTAATTCAGCGAGAGAGTGCGAGGAAGACAACACAAGACATTATTGTGTTCATCGAGGCCTAATTATAATTCCTGAATAATACTTAGACCTAATTATTATTATTCAGGAAAAAAGATGCTTGTTTCCCTCCACTCTTTCTGGCCACACTGCCAGCATGAAAGGGCTGGTGAAGAGAATTGGTAAGTATAAAAAAAACTGCATAAATATTTAATTTTTAAGGTGTTAGTGAAGTTCGGGCTGCCACTACACTGCTGCTACCACAACCACCATACTGCTGCTACCACAACCACCATACTGCTGCTACCACAACCACCATACTGCTGCTACCACAACCACCATACTGCTGCTACCACAACCACCATACTGCTGCTACCACAACCACCATACTGCTGCTACCACAACCACTACACTGCTGCTACCACAACCACCATACTGCTGCTACCACAACCACCATACTGCTGCTACCACAACCACCATACTGCTGCTACCACAACCACCATACTGCTGCTACCACAACCACCATACTGCTGCTACCACAACCACCATACTGCTGCTACCACAACCACTACACTGCTGCTACCACAACCACCATACTGCTGCTACCACAACCACCATACTGCTGCTACCACAACCACCATACTGCTGCTACCACAACCACCATACTGCTGCTACCACAACCACCATACTGCTGCTACCACAACCACCATACTGCTGCTAACCACAACCACCATACTGCTGCTACCACAACCACCATACTGCTGCTACCACAACCACCATACTGCTGCTACCACAACCACCATACTGCTGCTACCACAACCATCATACTGCTGCTACCACAACCACCATACTGCTTGCTACCACAACCACCATACTGCTGCTGCCACAACCACCATACTGCTGCTACCACAACCACCATACTTCTGCTACCACAACCACCATACTGTTGCTACCACAACCACCATACTGCTGCTACCACAAAACCCTCATACTGCTGCTACCACAACCACCATACTGCTGCTACCACAACCACCATACTGCTGCTAACCACAACCACCATACTGCTGCTACCACAACCACCATACTGCTGCTACCACAACCACCATACTGCTGCTACCACAACCACCATACTGCTGCTACCACAACCACCATACTGCTGCTGCCACAACCACCATATTGCTGCTGCCACAACCACCATACTGCTGCTGCCACAACCACCATACTGCTGCTACCACAACCACCATACTGCTGCTACCACAACCACCATACTGCTGCTACCACAACCACCCATTACTGCTGCTGTCACAACCACCATACTGCTTGCTGCCACAACCACCATACTGCTGCTACCACAACCACCATACTGCTGCTACCACAACCATCATACTGCTGCTACCACAACCACCATACTGCTGCTACCACAACCACCATACTGCTGCTACCACAACCACCATACTGCTGCTGCCACAACCACCATACTGCTGCTACCACAACCACCATACTGCTGCTACCACAACCACCATACTGCTGCTGCCACAACCACCATACTGCTGCTACCACAACCACCATACTGTTGCTGCCACAACCAACACACTACTTCTACTACCACTCCAACACTTCCAGACCACTACTACAACCCCCACAAAAACATTCACGACACTACCAACCATAATTCTACTGCTGCCACCCACCACCACAACACTGTCAGAACACTTCCACAACTATCACCCCCACAACACTGTCAGAACACAATTCCACAACCATCACCACCACAACACTGCCAGAACACTTCCACAACTATCACCACCACAACACTGTCAGAACACTTCCACAACTATCACCACCACAACACTGTCAGAACACTTCCACAACTATCACCACCACAACACTGACAGAACACTTCCACAACTATCACCACCACAACACTGTCAGAACACAATTCCACAACCATCACCACCACAACACTGCCAGAACACTTCCACAACTATCACCACCACAACACTGTCAGAACACTTCCACAACTATCACCACCACAACACAACAGAACACTTCCACAACTATCACCACCACAACACTGACAGAACACTTCCACAACTATCACCACCACAACACTGTCAGAACACTTCCACAACTATCACCACCACAACACTGTCAGAACACTTCCACAACTATCACCACCACAACACTGTCAGAACACTTCCACAACTATCACCACCACAACACTGTCAGAACACTTCCACAACTATCACCACCACAACACTGCCAGAACACTTCCACAACTATCACCACCACAACACTGACAGAACACTTCCACAACTATCACCATCACAACACTG